GATATCTTGCGCTCTTTCTACTCATGCCACTCTTCCACAGACTTCACATTAGAAAGTAAGCAAAACCAATCAATCTCTTTCCTCGATTTGCGTCCGATGAGAAGAAGTGATGGTTCCTTAAAAAGATCCACCTTTAGAAAACAAACGTGGAATGGCCAGATAACCGACTTCTATAGCTGGATTCCTTTAAGTAGAAAGAAAAATATCTTTATGTCATCGAATATGCAATACGGAATGCATTGATGAAGAACTCGCATTCCTCATGAAAACTTTGACCAAAAATGGCTATCCAGACCGTTTCATAGAGAAGAAGATGGAAAGAAGTAATTGAGACAAAAAATCTGGTTGATCCTTTTCAAAGAAAAACATCGATATAAGTTTGGAATTTAAAGGTGATCGAATATCTGATGTAATCAAAAATCGTTTAACGATAGCGATTAAAAGGACATCTAATACGGCGAAACTGCCAATAACCTTCACTAGTAGGAAACTATTTTTTGTATCCATAAAAGATAAGCTTCCGCGTTTAGTCGCCTCCATGTGCATCTACCAGTTCACCTGCTCTTGTGGAGCAAGGTACATTGGCCGTACCCAGCTCTCGCTTTCAACTTGGTTACGGGAACACGTTCCAGTTTGGTTCTACAAGGGTGAAAGGAAAACAGTTAGAAGTTCTATACTTGAATACCTAATCCATTGTAGTCATTCTACGGATCCGCAGTTTGATTTTAAGGTTGTACATATATGATTCATTCAAATCTACCTAGATTTCTTCGTATCCAACCCTTAAAAATAGACGAAGCTCTTACAATCCACGAGCTCAAACCAGAACTATGAGTACAAAAGAATCACGTCCTATCGTTATCATTACCTTGGCCTTAATTTAGTATTATTATTGCATTTCTCCTTTTACTTATGTCTAATATTCTCATCATTTTATTCAGAAATCCTCATCATACCACCTTATTTATTTTTACACCTCTATGACCTTTACTTATTGTAACAAAAACATTTAAATCATCTTATTACATTCATTAAAGGACTAGTAGGTCCTGGGTCCGAATCCCTCGAAGCTAGGTCGTGGATGCGTACCGCTGATGAGTCCCATCCTAGGACGAAACGACCGTCCAGTGCTTCCACATTTTCCATAGTGGTCTAGCTTCAACTGACCCATGATCTCAACTATTGAAATTACTACAATTTCCGCACAATCCCTTCTGATACTATAAAACTGAATGATAATAATCATTCATGTCTTCGAGTCATAACATCAACAACAACATTCCTCATCAGTATGATTTATTCATTATTGTAGATATAATGGACGTTCGTATCACTCATGACATCTTACATAAACCAATACAAACAACTCATCATCATGATCTTCCTATCACTTCTTTCCTCTTTCTCTTCTCGTGAATTATTGATTAGGTATTTGAGTATCACTAAAGTGTGCCAAATTGTGATTAGATCAAATTAGACAACAAAATGAATCATTGAATGTCTTTAAACTGGAAAAGAAAAAGCTCATTTCTATTCAATAAGAGTAAAATAAATCAATAACTAATATTGAAAATACTGATGTACGTGTATTTGTACAGATGGGGAGCGGTTACAATCATGGTATAAGAAATGTCTACCTATCACTAACCCATTCATCAATTCCATTCCATTTCAATGATTGAATGATTTTGTCAGTTTTTAGTAAAATGAAAAAAAGGATAAAAAAATCCTTTGAAATAGAACTCAATTAGTATACACGAATGAGTTTCGTATTGAACACATGAATTTACTAAGATACAGTGTTTAAGAATATTCATCATGATTAACTGTATTGCTAATAGATCCTCTTCAACAATTTACAAATCCTGATGTTTATGGAATCTGATGATGAATTGCAATGCATCTAGTCATGTGACGAGTGAATTTCAGTCAGTGTAGATCAAAATGACACGTAGACCCATTGTCTCTGAATAGTGGGTACATTACACAAAATGTGGATAACATTTTGGTGATTTTTCAAGTAGAAAAGGGAAGGAACACTTAATCAAATTAAGAAAGTGGATAACTGAAACAAGAGAGAGTCATGATGATTAGATCTATGCAGACTGATACAGTCATCATTAGAGATAGTGGATATTCGTTGTTTTACATCAGGATGTGAATGAAGACGGAAATGTGTGTGACAAGATGACGACTCAGTAGTCTACTAGTTAAGCACTCACCATGTGATCTGGAGGTCTCGATCAAGTGCTCCGACAGCATCGTATGTTTGAGTAGTCTCAGCATACGATGAATAAGCTGTTCCCTGTTTTTCACTTATAAGTTGACTGAGGTCAGTATATGAAGAAGGTAATCTTTGAAAGCGTCTCGATCAAAAAATAAGTTACTGGCTGAATTTTCAACATCATTGAATGACGGAATGTTTAGCAACGATATGAAAGATCAACGGAACATTATCAACTTTGATGTTTACAGTAATTTACTTTAAACCGTTTAATTATGGTGGTAAAGTTAGGATATCACACGAGGATTTCGATTGTTGACCAACTTTAAAATTCGTGTGGTGTCGCTCAAATGCGAGTGAACGATACCTTTTAATCACTATGTTAAATTAACACAACTTTGAAGTACCTTGTTTAGTTATATCTTCTGTCCATCCCATGGATTTCCCAATATGAAATCCACAGACGTGGACTTACATAAGAAGATCGATCATGGAATGTTAATCTTTTCAGATCTTTTATTTAATCTTTGAAATCTTAATTGAGTTCTACTTTGTCATACAAAATATTCTAACTTGGAATAAACTCATTTTAGTTGTTTTCATCTTCTTACTTTAATCTTTACACTAATCTAGTAAAAATGAGTTTAGATGTACATTGATTTCTAGCTGATGATTATGTCAATGAGATAGATATTTAATGTCCATCCACTATCCAAAATATACTTTAAACATACTAATATGAGGTTAGTTGCCATTACAACAATAAATCAAATTACAGTAATAAATCAAAAACTATATCTAAATATACCAATAGATATGGATAGGTCTGTTTTTGAAGATCAACTAGATTAGCCAGTATTCCACATCACCACCACCACCACATAATACCTGTCACTTTTCGAAAAAAATAACTCCTAGTTTAGGTTCACTGGATTCATTAACTCCATTAGGCTTCACTTTAATAAAATAACAAGAGAATTGAATTCTTCTATCAAATTGACTTCCCGATTTTTTTTTCGTTGATACCTTCCGCATTTCTGTTTTTCAAATGAACTGTTGTTTATATAACATTAATCCCCCGATAGTCTAGTGAAAGGTCTGAGACTGTGAATCTGGGTGACATGGGATCGAATCCGTCAGGGAGCACCAGTTCCTTCAAAATTACAGGTATACCATGCTGATGAGTGCCCAATAGCACGAAATCTGGGTCCAGGGTTTCCTGTTGACTACCTCCAACCACCATCTTATGTTAATCACCATAAAAATTTCATGAATACTTCTCATTTCCTTTCGAATTGTCTGGTGAGTTAATCTGAAAGTCAAAGTGTTTCGTACGGGTTATATTTTCTTCATCTTTCATCAGTTTACATCCAATCGTGTTACGTACCTAATTGATAATGCACAGAAACTTCTGGATCAGTATGTGACATACAAGTATAATATACTTGAATAGAACCATTAATAATAATACTTGAAATGAATTTCGTTTAGCAGGTCAAAGTAATAATGTTTACGTGCATATTTCATATTATCGGAATAAGTAAATTTATCATCACAAGATCCACTAAGTAATTTTAGATAAGTATGATCAACGCTGAAAACTGATGACTGCCCATAAAAACTGACTGTTTCAAGGCGGATGAAATCAGTGGAGATATTTGTGATGATAAAATTGGTCCACCTAACATCTTCACTTAAACTCAATTTACTAGGATAAATGAACTTTGAAACATTGTGAAATCCAGTTCATTCGATGTTAAATAAATCTTCATATTTTGTTGTTTTAAGATCGAGTCCTACTCTAAGTGTCCAATCGAAGTCAAGACTGCATACTGAATTGAAACGTTATTTTTGTTGAGATAATACTAACTAAAAACTGGGAAAACATTTCATTCATTATCTAAGTTAAAGTCACCCGCCAATCTTGAAATTGTTTCTCTAGTTGCTCATTACCTAACTATACTGTATCACTGCATAAAAACATTTTTTTAATCCTAAAACCTCACTGGATGTTATAAATGAAGACAAACTGATAATTATCAGTATGAAAGTTTGTGGAGATTATAGTATTTTAACAGTTGAATACACGAATCAGTCTAGGCTAAATCATCATTGAAAACCTGGAAGCACTAGACGGCCATTCTGGCCTATTGTATGTCTAAATAACAGTGCGTATCCACGATGCCATTTCGCGAAATTCAAACTCAGGACCTATCATTCTCGTGTACAAACGCTTAACATTCAGACCATTGAGCTGGAGGGCATCCAACGGTGTTAATGTCTAATTTCAATAAATTCACGAAATTGAGTGACACATCCACCATTGTCATCACTCAGTTACCACTTCACAACAAACTCTGTTGAACTCCACTAATCACTGCTTCCCACTAGAACTCCAGAAAATTCCCTCTTAAATCCAGTCACTAATGAGCATATGTTGATTAATGTGAGCAGGGGTTTTTTTGTGGATATTATAGTAGCTTCAAAATATTCGATTGTCTCCATTCTTATATCTTATTAATTACACTATCATCAGTCGTATCCAACAATGATTGGATTGGTTGGTGTTAGAAACTATCATCATTGGATGCCGGCTCAGTGGTCCAGTTGGTTAAGCGTTCGCACTACTGAGGAGTCCCACATTAGGACGAAACGACCGTCTAGTGCTTCCAGGTTTCCAATTGTGGTCGTCTAACATCAATCGGTTCATGATTTCAATCAAACACATAATAATCTCCACAACCCCTATACTAGTAATGAATAAACAACTCACTAATAAATAATATAACCATTTATTTATCTAGTAATAACAATATTTAATAATAAAATCACAACAAAACGAAACATAAAAGATCTTTTTAATGATTGATATACAAGAGAAAGAACAAGACAAAAACAAAGAGGGAGAACATCGTTAACTATTGCATTTTATATTGTGTCTGTGGGGGTTTTTTTCGAACAAACACTGATACATTCACATGAAGTTATGAATGAAAGTACTGGCAAGAACAAAACAAAGAAATGATGAATACAATTTTTTTAAATAAAAAAAAGAAGAACAATTATATTCAAGCTAATATACGTGTACAATTTCACCGATATCACTTTTATTAAAATCAGCTGTTTTTAAATTATGTAATCATACTACTAAAACAATAATGAGTAGTTTCAGAAATCATGAAGAACCCACGTGACGTGTTACTCATTAACTCGAATTATTATTATTATTATTATTAGTAGTAGTAGAAGTATTAGTATTATAAATCAATAATGGTTTATGATTTGTTTCTATGGATAAATCATTTTCTGATAAATGACGTAATGATCTTGGTGCTGTACGTCTTGATAAAATCAATATATCTGTACCATCATAATCAGAATAATAATAATTAATATAATTAAATTTACATTTAATAATATTGATAACTTGTTTTTTAAATTTATTACATGTAAGAAAATAAATAAAAAAATTACATGCATAATGTGATGCACAAAATGCATCAATTAAACCTTTAGTTGTAATCCGTTGAAAAAATATTGTCCATTCATTTGATTGATAAATAGCTTGATCTGTTAAACAATCATCTGGTTGTAACCAATGAAATTGTATTAAATACATTATACCAGTTGGTACTGTACATGCAATTAAATAAAATGATAATATAATTAACATTAATGTAGCCGATATAAATTGTGTTGATTCTTTAGTTAAATGATCTTGTGTTTTATTCATTTGTATTGTTTTAATTGGACTAAAATTTGGTGTACCATCATCTCTTAATGATTCATCACGTGGATTATCATTTAAACCATCAGTAGTATTGGTAGTATTACTTATTAAATTATGAGTAGTATAATTATTATTACTAAATTTTCTCCGTTTGAAAAATCGTTTAAATATGAATTTATTCTTTTCATTATGAGTAGTATTTATAGATGATGAATGAATTGATTGATGTTTTGAAATTTTTAATAAATGACTTGATTTAATTAATCTTCTCATTTCACATAATACTAATATATTAAATATTAATGTAGCTAATGGTATAACTAATGAAAATAATACTTCTTGTACAAATAATAATGTTTGAAATTTTTCATCCATAGCTACATTAATACGCATACGACATTCACCATTATCATATGTCCATAATATAGCTTGTGATAATGTTGGTCCAATAATAAATAAAGATAAAATAAATACAGCTAATATAGCTCTTTTAGTTGTACATAATTTATGCCGTTTAAATGGGAAACATACAGCTAAATAACGTTCTAATGTAAAACCAAATACTAATACAATAGAATAATATTGTGTAAATATAAATAAACATTGAAATAATTGACATATACCCGGTATTATAATTACACCACGTATACACCAATAACGTTCTAAATCATAATTTAATAATAATAATATAAGAATAAGATCAGTTATAGATAATGTAGCTAAATAAATAGCTGAACTATTTTTACGCCTTTGTTGTTTTGAAATCCATATTAAAAATGATAAAGTATTACCAAAAATACCACTAATTAACCAAATTAACATAAATATTCTTACAATATATAAAAAAATTGGCATAAATTTTCTTTGTAATTCACATTGTGGATAACGATCATAAATTGAAATAGAATCAATATTAGATTCATTTAATAAATAACGCATAGTACAATTTAAATGGATTGTATCATTTAAATCGATCATTATTATTCTCTTTTTCTTTTTTTTTAAATTTTTATTTATGAATAATTATCGATTTGTTTTGTTTATTGTTGTTGTTATGATGGTGGAGGTGGTGCCAGTGGTAGTGGTGGTGGTGGTGGTGGTGGTGTTGTACAAAAGACGATTAATGATTGTTAACAATTGTAAGATACCTATGTGGAAACAAAAACAAAAACACAACAAACAAAGATAATGCAATAACAATGTAGTTATAGATGATGTTAAATAAGTAACTGAAAATCATTGAACAGAAGACTTTAAAGGTTAAAGTAACCTGATTACAACTATAAGATGATGATGATGATGATGATGATGATGATGATGATAGGCTTGAAACGTTCTCAGTTTTTGAGTAGTTTTTTAAAACTACTATTAGTGATATATAAACAGTTTTGTTTGAAATCCGAATTGATGAATCAATCACAAATTACACACCATTATCATAATAATACTTTGACGCTGTTAGATACCAGTCGTTTCATTGGTTTAGAGGTTAAGCGTTCGCGTGCAATACCGAAGCTTTGAGTTCAAAGCTCATGAGACAGGATCATGGATGCGCACTGCCACCGAGGAGCCTCACAGTAGGACGAAACGACCGTCCAGTGCATCCAGATTTTCAATGGTGCCCTAGCTTCAGTTGACTCATGGTCTTACCTATTAACATTACCATGATATCCACAAAAACACCTGATATTAATTAACACATGCTCACTAGTGACTGGATTCAAGAGGTATTTTCTGGAGTTTTAGCGGGAAGCAATGACTAGTGGAGTTCGACCGAGTCTGTTGTTAGATAGTAACTGAATGAAAACAATGGTGAACGGTGTTGCAATATGGATGATTGGTTGAAGTTAGACGTAAACACTATTGGATGCCGGCTCAGTGGTCTCGAGGCTAAGCGTTTGCACGTGAGACTTAAAGCCCTGGGTTCGAATCCAGCGAGCGTTGATACGCATTGATAACGAGTCCCACAATAGGACGAAACGGCCATCCAGTAATTCGAGGTTTTCAATGTTGATCTAACACCAATCGGTGTGTGATCACAACCATATACTGATAAAAATGTTTTCCTAAACGTTGAGTACATTTAGAATGTAGGAGTAATAGTCGGAAGAGTTTAAGCATATCAAGAGTGAAACACTTATCATAGCATACAATAAATGATAGTCATGCAATAATACGAAATGACTGAATCCCAATTAAATAATTCAGATTAAGTGATATGAAGCTTATTTACTCATCTAGAGAATCAATAGTACGAGATTGGCCTAGTTGAAAACTCTCTATTTAGAAAACAAAACAACAATTAAATATTATCTGGTTATCTAATTACCACAGTTTATAAATGAAAATTGAATTCATATTGTATAAACTTGAAAAAACCTACATCCTATTTACTGTCATAACAAGAAAGTTTGACGGAAATCAGGTCGTGGATGCGCGCTGCTGAGAAGTCCCATACTAGGACGACACGGGCGTTCAGTGCTTCCAGGTTTTCCATGGTGGTCTAGCTTCAATTGACTCATGATTTCAACTTGTGAAATTTCTAATAATCTCCACAAATCCCATTCTGATAATAGAAATCATATATTCAACATAACCCATTCTTAATTGCCCTTAAAGGACTACATATATTACCGACTTGAAATCTCCACAGTTTCATAGATTTTTCATAACATGTAGAAGTATTTACTTAAGTAATTACTTAACAAGTTTACATTTACAATATGTACACTAAAGTGTTTTACTATGAGTAATTTATAATCAAATGCTATAAGTTACTTGTATAACGATTGAAAACCTGATACTATTCACATGGACCCCTCTAAATTACGTAATAACAATTTTATCAATGATCTAATGTATGACTTTTAGGTTTCCAGTCAACAAATTTACGTTTAACCCATTGAATAGGAATACACGTAATGTAGAATCAATCATAACTGATTAAAATTCATTATCAAAACAAGATAACAAAACACAAAGGTAGATATTGGCTAGTAGTGGGATCCAGTTTGACACACGTTTCGTCCTATTTTGGGACTTGTCAATTGGATGTACTTGTATCTCAGAGTTGATGTTCACTTTGGGACTTGGACCGAATACCATTCGCTTCAAACGCTATCACGTTATCCACTTAGTTACTGAATCGTGATGGCCACTTGCTTGTGCAATATGGTGAAGTTAAAGTTCATGTGATACTATTTGTTTGAATCTTCCCATTGTTATTTAGGACTGCAGTTGACCAGTCTCTTATTGGCACATGTTCAACCTTTGAGTATTGCTACGATATAGCTTTAATTCACATGCATTATATGCAAATATGGGTAGTGGCTAGTAGTGGAATACAGGACATACGTTTCGTCTTGTTTGGGACTTATCAGCTGGACGTACTTGTATCTCAGAGTTGATGTTCACTCTGGGACTCTAACTCATTCTCGTTCGCTTCAAACACGACCTCGCTATCCACTGCTAGCCACTATTCATTTCTTACAACAAAAGACTGACGATATTGTTTGTAATTACTCTATGATAGGATTGATACAAAAGGTTTCGATAATTACTCTTTACTAACGTATTAACTAAATGACTTTGTGTTACTGTACACAAACTTACATTTGCGCATACATGGAAGAATTAACACGAAAAAATTTGATGAAATCAATTCAGTTTATTATACAGTACTCCATCTGTAGCACTTCTACAGTTATTACTAATCCCAAGCTCGGGTAAAAAAAAAGGAGGATCAGTCATAGGATTAGTAACCATAACCCATAGAAACAAACTCTACAGTATTTGTTGTTCTTACTTTTAAAAGTAAAATATGTAGTGAATGTTATCGTTTACACTAAGCACATCATTGATTCAATCTCATGGTATATAAGAAAGAAATTACAAAATTGAATCGAGATAAATTTTTTTTTTAAATGTTCTCATAATTTCAATCATCTCAGCAACTATTAAGATTAGAATACACTTGCAATACTAACAAGTTACCAAATGGTTACACCCAAAATCAATGATAATCTGAATATTTTGTATGTGTGTGTGTGTGTGCGGATGGGTGTTTGTTTGTAGGTGTATGACTTATTTGTGTTAATTTACCACATAAATTGATTGTGCTTCTCTTATTACTTAAATGAGTATTGTAAACTACCTTGATTAAGATTTCTCTTATTTTATTTGATCTATCTATGTATAAACAAGTAAATATAGATTAGACAACATGTTTAAACCTGACATTCTATATGGTTTATCAATTTGTTCTTTTTTTAACACAATCACGGTAGGGGTGTTGTTTACGAGATTGAGAGGACGAAAAGTGAATGTCTGACACTTTAACCGGATTGGTGGACACGGAGAGTCCACCAAGGGAGGTTGGAACATCTTCATTCCAAACCAATGGTGAACATGAGCTTCAGTATCCTAGAGGAACAAATGGCGTATGAATCAATCGTTGATCATCGGTTACCATGAGACTTCATCTCCTGACATTGCTCCACTGTCTCGTAGATCAGACCTTAAGTTCGAAGGTTCTAGGCGTGGCTCCCTAAGAAAATCACCTTCTTCGGCTTGACCATCCGGGCAATGTCGCAGCCCTCAAACAAACCAAATGAGATTTGTGTCGCGCATATGTATTTGGTGTCTCTTTGTACCAATATTTATATGTTCAAATAAATAAATAAGCACAATACATTGGATATTACTATTTTATATCATTCACACAAAAGTAATTGGATTACAATAAATGAGTGAATATACAGTACATAATAGTTTTACGAACAAATGAATGAGATTAACATGGTTACACAGAACACCTATAAATATTGATAACATTCCAATAAGATAAAGTGAACAATACGATAGATTGTTGGGTCTAGGATAAATAACTCTGTACATAGTTTAGTGTAGGACAGTTAACTTGATAATGTTAAGCTTTATAAGTTGAGTACATTCTTAAAAGTGACTAGAAGTGAAGTGGTTATTGTGACTCAGGCGATAACGCGATGCAGTAGTAGGGTCCAGTTTATTTATTCATTTATTTGAACACATACATATTGTTACAAGATGGCACCAGATACATTTAAGCCACTCAAACCTCATTCGATTTGTGTGAGGGCTGTGATACTGCCCGGGTGTCCAAACCGAAGCGGATGGTTTACTCAGAGGGGACCACACTCAGAGCCTTTAACCTCAAGGTCTGATCCACAAGTCAGTGGAGCAACGTCAGTAGATGCAGTCCCATGGTAGCCAGTGACAGACGAGTAGTTCATACACCATTTGTTCCCTCAGGATACTGGAGCTCGTGTGCACTATTGGTTTGGAATCAGGGTATTCCAACTACCCTAGGTGGACTTAACGTGTCCACCAACTCGGTTAAAGCTTTTCGTCCTTTCTATTTCGAAAACAACACCTGTGGTGCGAGAAGGCAGTGAGTAGGACTTCCCTGGCAGAGGCTTTATACGCGTGGCCATGTGCGAGCATTCGGAAAAGGAGAGTGGACTCTCCCTACTCCCAGTCGTACCAGGACATTTGGGGGCAACTAAACTGATGTGTATGATAAGTGATAAGGTGAAATGGGATAGCGTTTGCAAATTCTAATTTAGCCGGTAAATCGGATAGAGATGAATGAAAACATTAACTTGGTTGCACAGGTAAAGTTTAGGCTTTACGTATAGGGAAGTATTGGTTTCATATTTTGTAACTGGAGTGATTCACTAACAAATACTGTTTGTAGATTAGACTGACTGATAAATGGAGAATTCGAGAAACCTAATCTCATTTTATTAGTTCTCAAGGTAAGTGAAAAAGTGAATGCAAAGGTATTTGATATATGTAGCCTAAACTAAGTTTTACGAAAACAGGCATATTACTGACACAAATGATGTAGTTTTCGTCTAATCATTACGTGAATGATGACTCTTGTTAAGTATCTCTCAGTAGTAATTGGCTGAAAACAATGGTGGATGTGTCGCTCAATTTCGTGGATTAGTTGAATTTAGACATTAATACCATTGGATGCCGACCGACTCAGTGCTGTAGAGATTAAGCACCCGCACGCGAGACTAATAGGTCCTGTGTTCGAATCTGGCAGGGCGGGATTGTAGATGCGCACTACCACTGAAGAGTCCCATGATGAGACGAAACGACC